TACTTTCCAGAATCCAGAACCATTGGGAATGTTTTAATTCTGAAAATAGGTGGTTTCTATTAGAAATGCTGACAGACCCTTCACTGTAGCAGCCCAAGTGGCCAGTGCTATAATAATTAGTTGTGTATATGGAAAGCATGAGGCTAGTGTTAGAGAACAAGCACTTTGGCTGAATAGACCGAGAAGGAAAAACACCGTACTCCATTTCTTTGCAGTGATCCTGAAAATTAGCACTTGGGTTTATTCAGGCAGGGAGAAATTGGTAACAAAGTTGGTCATTAACCTGGTGCATACTATATTTCCAAAAATAACAATCTGGAATAGCACTTCTAGGATTGGTCAGTTGTATTGCCAGCTGGCTCTGTTCTGTCCACTTTCAAACTCTGCATTGTCAGGAGCTTGCCTTTATGCCCTGGTGAGGTTTTTCTTTTCGAGATTTAAACTAATTTCATATTCTATAATCCTCAGCCATCTCTAATACTTTTTAAATTGTGTGCACGACACTGCAAACAATTAGTACCAAAAGTAGTGCTTACTATCCTGAGTACTGCTGCAGATGTCCATGGCCTCCTTGTGCTGTCATTTTCAAGTCCCACTGTTGTCAGTCTATTAGCTCTGGTCTACAACTAGGACTTTATTTCAAAATAGCCCCCCCTCCCCCGGCCGAACTTAAAAGCGGAACGTCCACACTACCAAGTCCATTATTTTGAAATAACAAGCCACAGAATTTGAAATCTGTACTCCCGCTTTTCATCTGGAGTAGCACTAATTCCGAAATAGTTATTTCAAAATAATGGCAGTGTGGACGCTCCGGTGCCGCTATTTTAATTACTCCTCAGAGTAATTCAAACTAATTACTCCCCAGTGCTTCCTGGAGCTCTAAGTCTGAGGTAGCGCTTCCACATTAACGGAGACTGCCATGGACTAATTTCAATGCTTCCCCATAATGAGGACATGCTAGTTTGAATTTGTTAAATCTGGAGTTCTTAAATTGAATTTAGTAATTTCGAAATAGTTTCCTAGTGTGGACATGGCCTTAGAGTAGTAAGCAATACATGCATAAATATTTTCAGGATTGTGTCCTATTCTGGGAACTAAACTCTATCCACCCTACCTACCCACCTGCAAACATTCATACAGGCAAGTAATGTTAAGTTAAAAGGACTGTTTCCATGAGTGTAACTACTTGTCTGAGTACATGTGTGTAGAATTTGGGCCTTGACCTATTTTCAGTGCAGCACACATTCTCCTTTTTCATTGTTAATCACAGGGTTGAAAACTTTGCAATGTTCAGTCAGCGTGTTGTTGAAGGCTGAAAAGTCACTTTTTAAATGGTTAAAAAGGTCGAACAGCTGCAAATAATAATGGCCCAATGAAAATCAGATTCTGACTGTAGCCCTCTTCAAGAATAACTCTGGAACAGGAAACAAGCTTGCTTGATACATTTAGCAGTGAAAGCAATAAGAATTCCACAGACTTTCTTTCTTTCTAGAAGTGACAATGCTAAAGCTTTGTGCAACATTGTTGAGAGGCCTTTGAGTGTACATCCAGCTCAGAAGAGGATGTTGCTGAGGGGAGATCTAGTTTTGCTTTATTTTGAGGGTGGTTCTTTTTTGTTTGTGCTTCAGTTTTATAAACCATTCTAAAGCATGTTTACAAACGTACAAATTGAAAAACAAAGGAAAACCCTCTTTTGACACAGAAATTTGTTTCTTCTGTAAGTTCCATTGGCTGAAGAAGTCCTTCCATGCTTCTGTCCTTTAATCTTTTAATTTAACTACCTTAGCTTTTCATAGGCACAATGATATTTCCAGGGAATGACAGGCTACAACAACATAGCAGATTTCCTCACATATGTATCCTGCCAATAAGACTCTTTACACAGTCACAATAGGGCAATAAATGCTGACAGATGTTGTTAACATCGCTATTAAAATTCAACCCCCTTTTCAGATACATAATGCATTCAAACCCATGTTAATGATATCAAAATGATATTGCTATGTCAGTATCAGTTCTAAGTACTCACTTAAATTAATAATTCCTGTGTGCAGCTTTGAAGCTGCCATATATTTGAGGAATTGAAAACAACAGAAGCCAAGTATTCAGACTTAAGTAACTTTTTAACCAATCATTCTGGATTCATTTGATGTTTATTATATAAATTAATTTGGTGGTGTTGTGGTTGTCACATGGAATTCTATGGAAAATCCATTGTAAATGTAATTTGAGTTTTAAAGGCATTAAAGGTTAATTTAGATGGTGGTGTTAATATGATTTTTATTAGATGCAGCAGTCCTTGGTGGATTATTTTCTCATGCATCCAGGTGCACCTTTTACATTTGTAAAACAGTTGAATTATATTCTGTTGTGATGCACATGCATAAACCTTACACTACGAACCATATGCTATAGATGTATGCAGCTGTCACTTTTCTGAACTGTGGGTTGTGAGGCCTACATCCACATCTTGACAAGGATTCCATATAACTTTTCCAAAGTGCAACTGGAAAAAAAACCCAGCTATTGAGAAGTGGTGTTATTCTTCTATTTTAATGGTAACTACTCTGAGCTATTTTTATCAGCTTTCTCTATTGCTTCATTACTTTAAGATGGGACAGTACAAAAATCTTCTGAATCCTTCCATCTCTAGGTTATTGGGTCAAATCTAAAGGGCTTGTTTATAGACAAACTGGGCCAGAAATACCTAAATTGGTTGTACCTTCAGTTATGTTAGTACAAATCTGTATATGGACACTATTTGTCATTTCAAATTGAGTGTTCTGTTTCATGTAATTTAAAATTGATTTGAGTTAAATCTAACTAGGACATTCATAACATGAAATAGGAGTGTTCACACACAGATTTACACTAAAATAACTAAGAGTGAATTTCAATTTCGGTTTGTGTGTAGATGTGCCCAATTTTTGGTCTAAAATGTATTAACTTTTGCTGGCAATTCAGTGAAATAAGTTGCTGGTCTCAATCCAGTTTTAGGGCATATGTCTACTTCACATAAAACAAATGGTACTGATTGTCACCTTTATTGGTAGTTGTGGCAGAGAGGTCAAGGGCTTAATGGAAATGGCAACTGCCTCCTCCACATTCATAGAAATTGTCTGGGTGGCTCAGATTAAAACACACAGGCAGGACATCATGGGAAAGTTCATGCTGCTGTCTGGTATGTGGTACCTCACCTGGGCTGTGTCCAGACTCAGGGTTTTTTTCGGGAAAAGTAGCCTTTTCCCGAAAAAACTTCCCCTGCGTCCAGACTCGAGCCGCGTTCTTTCGAAATAATTTCGAAAGAACGCGGCTTTTCTTTCGATGGCGGTAAACCTCGTTTCACGAGGAAGAACGCCTTCTTTCGAAAGTTCCTCTTTCGAAAGAAGGCGTTCTTCAATGTAAATAGGGCTTCCTCGAAAGAGAGCATCCAGACTCGCTGGGTGCTCTCTTTCGAAAAAGCGGATTGCTCTTTCATCCAGGGCTATGTCTAGACTGCAGGCTTCTTTCGAAAGAGGCTCTTTCGAAAGATGCTTTCGAAAGAGCCTCTTTCGAAAGAAGCCTGCAGTCTAGACATAGCCCTGGTAAACAAGAAGTATGTCTCCCTGCCAATCAAACCAGTACCTTTTAGCAGCACACAATTCATTTAAAAGAAGAAAAAAGATGGAATATGTTAAAAATCAAGCATCTGGAATTTTCACTGCTGTAGTAAATATAAAAATGGGGAATAAGTGCTTGTACGTACAGGTTAGCACTTCAGGTCAAGATAAGAATGCAAACTGTTTATAAAATATTTATAGTTTTGCAGGATACTCTCAGAACTTCTAAGTAAATAATGCTGCTTTGAAATGAGCATTCATTCAATTTTGTTGAATCATTATAGATTCCTGTTTATGCTGCTAAAGGGCTGCAATCAACTTGAAGTCTACTCTGTTTTTTCTTTAAAATGGGTTCAAGTAGTTCAGGAGGCCCTCTGCCAATTTTGGGGTTTTTTAAATAAAATTTTACTACTTATTAAAATGTCTTTCCCTTTTTCATTGGATGAAAGATTCACGAAAACAGAGACAATTACTGGCTAAACAGGGATAGAGCGATACTGAATACATTCAAAATGCTGTCCAAACAAACTGGAAAAAATGTGTGTTTTGTTCTTTAATGTAGTTAATTTTGTAATCCTAATAGTACTTGTAGAAATAATAGGTTCAAAATAATGGGGTGATTGTCCACTTAAAAAAAAAAGGTTTTCTAAAATAATTTAGCCCAAATCAGTCAGAAGCACTGCATGAGTCCTGACACAAATTCCGCTGTAATATTGCATGCACTCTGAGAGTTATGTACTATATGGAGAGGCAAATGTTTATTTCCTTACCTCTATTTATTGTTCTTTTCTCATTCTGTAACCCAAAAACTCTCTCCCAAGGTCTGATCCGCAATTAAAATACTAGACTTCAATGTCCTATGAAGGCATTACAGTTCAATTCTCCGCTAGATTTCTCGTCTTATGATCTTTAGTATCTGGCCGGATTGCATATATATTATATGCTAAATATGTTACCTAAAACAATTCACTACTCAAAATGTAGGCTCTTTGGTTAGAAAAATTCCATTTAGTCTGGTTTAAATGTTGTTCAGTCAGGAACTGAAGAAGGAAAAGTAAAATTTCAGGATCTTTGTGAGCAGGCATGGTCTTATCTAATAATAACACCGAACATGTGTTTTTTCCCTAGGCAGGATTTCTGTTCTAACAGCCTAATGGCTTTTTTCTTCCTTCAGAGTAAATATATACCCAGGAAAGAGCCATAAGAACTTAGACTGTAGGGAGCCTGATGAACATGAGCAAGTTAGGGCCCTGAAATGATGATTTTTTTCCTGTCAGTTTTAGGAGTTTTGAATTTAATTTATTTTAACTTTAAAATTGTTTCTATTTTGCATGTTTCCTAAAGTTTAGGGTGCATATATTTATGCGTTCCCTTTTTTCCTCCCCACATTTTAACATGTAGATTTATGAGGAATCAAAGATGAACTTGGAGCAGGAGAGGCCTTTTGTCTGCAGTGCCCCAGGCTGCTCACAGGTGAGTGGAGTCAGCGGCAATATTAACTGAGCGCTCAACACTACCTCTGGCTTGTGTAATGCCTCCTGATATATTAACACACGTCTAATAATAATGTTTTCCAACCTCCTTTTTTTCCCCACACCCTTTTAATTGTTCAAGTGGTAGACAGCACAGGAAGGAAATGTATTGGCTTAATAGGACTATAGCTCTTCTAATGTTTGCCCTTCTCAAACATTTGTATAAACCTGTACGTTTTATTTGTGTATGTGTATGTATTTATTGCCATTTCCACAGCTAATACCTACTATCTTATAGGAGGATATCTTTATATTAAATACACTTCATTTAAAATGCATTTTATATCCAAATTCTGACCCGTATACTACACATGGGATTCCAGCTGCCTTGAATGGCAGCCCAATGTATGCATATAAGGACAGAATCTGATTGGTAGAATTACATGTTTGATCTTTCTTCTTTATTAGTGAATCGACAGGCATTTTACCCACTAAGAACTGATTTTAGAATTCAGTGTTTCTTTGACAAAATTGGTAGTAACAATTGGTAGTAACAATTGGTAACATCATCCATTCCTAAGGGTATGTCTACACTTGCAGCCTATTTCGGAATAGGGCTGCAAATGTAGGCATTCGGAATTGCAAATCAAGCCTGGGATTTAAATATCCCGTGCTTGATTTGCATCTTCCCGTCCGGGTGCCATTTTTTGAAATTTACAAGTCCGGAATAACTGCCCACGTCTACACACGGCAATGAAACAGGCGTTCGAAATATAGCCCTATTTCGAACTACCTGTTAAACCTCACTGCAGGAGGAATAACAGGTAGTTTGAAATAGGGCTTTATTTCGAACGCCCGTTTCACTGTGTAGATGCGGGCAGTTATTCCAGGCTTGTAAATTTCAAAAATGGTGCCCAGCCAGGAAGATGCAAAACAAGCGTGGGATATTTAAATACCGGGCTTGATTTACAATGCCGAATACCTACATTTGCAACCCTATTCCGAAATAGGCTGCAAGTGTAGACATACCCTTCAGCAATTAGGAACCTCCATCCCTTGCATTCCCTGTAATAGATGTTAGTTTAGTGTCTGGAGTACACAGCTCAGGGTAATTAGATATGGGCTTTCTTTCAGGTGCTATCATAGTTAGGGTTACCTTAGGTAAGTTATTTAACTTTGCCTGCGTTAGTTTCCCTATCGATAAATGAGGATAATACTTCCCTACTTTGCTGGGGCATTGAGTCTTCAGTCCTTAATGATTATAAAATCCTTTGTGTTCTTCTGATGAGAGCTGTAAGAGTGCAGAGTATATTATTATTAGAGTTGGAGTAGAAATGTGGAAATCTTGAATTCAGATGTTGGCATGTAACTAATGTGCTCCACTATTTAAATTAATAGGAGTCTTACTAATGACTTCAGTTGATTTTGGATCAGTCCCTAAATGAGGAATGCGTTCATTTGTAATTTTAAGTCTGTGTGTACACAGCTGAAACTTCATTATAGGCCCTGCCTCTAAGAGATTAGTTTTAAATATCTCCAAGTTCTTCAGCAAAATTTTATTAAATCTTTTTAAGAGTCTGGTATAGGGATGTTAAAATTAGATTAATCAAGTAATCAAATAGTCAGTGGAATTTCTGTTGACTATTCGATTAGTTGATAAGGGCACTTCCACTTTGAAATGTAGCAAGAGCCCACCCGCCTGTTGCTACATTTCAAAGTTGAAATTGTTGTGTGGCGTTCTGCCTTTGAAATGTACAAAAGCCCCAACAGAGGCTCTTGTGCATTTCAAAGGCTGAAGTGCTACATGGAGCCCGGGGCCAGCGCGGGACTCTGAGTCCCCCACTGGCCCCAGGCTCCCATGCGGTGATATCGCTTTGAAATGGGGAACGCCACCACTGCACTCCTGCCCCTGATAGAGGCAGCGAAGAGAAAAGGGAGCAGCAACTAGTTGACTAGTGTGTTGACTATCCAATAAGGTTTTGCTTATCAGATAGTTGACTAGTCGATTAGTTGCTTACATCCCTAGTCTGGTTCAAGTTCTTGAGAAGTATTGACCAACCAACTTTTCATTGAAATAAATGGAATTGAGTCTTGACCGGGGAAGATTTAGGACAGGGAGAGCGGGGCAGCCACACTGGGCCCCACGCTTCAAGAAGCCCCACGCATGTGCCTTGGTGCCACTGCGCATGCGCATGGTGCCACCGCGCACACGCCGTGGCAAAGGGGGGCCCCACGAAATTGTGCTATCCTGGGCCCTGCAAAATGGTCATCTGCCCCTGGTCTTGACAATAGTGAATTTAAATCAAATAATCAATTTATTTTTTATGTAATTTAAAACATCTTTTAAGTTCACCTTTAATTTATAGTGCATCTTCTATTTACTATAAAACATCAGTTGCATACTGTAGTACTTCATACTAGTTCCTTCTTCATCAACCAATTTATTATCTATTCAAAGAATGAGTTAGCCAGTTTTATGTACTATGAAGAAACTGTGCTTAAAGGAAAAGTCACAAGTCTGCTTTAAAGAAACCGATTCTTTCCCCAAATGCACCAAGTCTTCTTTAGGCCCTGCTGATTTGCACAGTGAAGATGGAAGCATAGCATTCCATGTTGGAGAATTTGTTTCAACAATGTGTTTCTGCTCCCAACATTAAGCGTGGAGAGTGTTTCCCACATTCCATTTGGCCTCACTGTAAATTTTTAGTGCTTTTACTTCTTCCAGATGAGTAAACACTGAATCAGAATTTCACAGTGAGGAAAAGGACTCCCCCTGCTTCATGTATATGTTTTTTGACATCTCATCCACATTATCTACTCTCTGTGAATACCATTAGGCACATAGATGCTGCAGAATAAAATTTATTGTAGCTGTGTATAACATGCTATAGCCACCAACCGAGATAGTCTGGGTTGTACCATTTTAAAAGCACCAAATCATCTCCATTTCTACCAGTTTCTGTCCGCCTTCTAGGGACCTGCTGCTTTAAAATGCTACTCTTTACAAAGCTATCCAGACACATCTTTGCATTCTTTGCTACTCTTTGATTAGTCCTATTAAAGCAAAGAATTACCATAACAAATAGGGAATAATATTAAATTTGGCCAGTATGTGCAAAAATGTTTTTCCAGATTGTTTCACTTAAATTTTGATTTTGGATTATTTAATCTACAGAGTGCCCCTATTTTCTGCTCTCTGCCTTGTAAAGTCATGTCCACCTGCTCTTTTTCTATAATAAGTTTTTATCAGGCACCATTTAGAACACAATGTGCCCAGATGATTATTTTATACTGAAGTGTTCACCCAATATTCATCATCATCATCATCATCAGCATCATTTATTTATTTATTAATTTTAAAGAAACAGTTGAAATTTATAATTCTGTTATCAGGATTATAAATTTAATTTCACGCATTAGTATATTGAGTAAGGTTTCGTGCAAAACTCATTCCTACATCTTGTCCTCTGGGCAAAGAAAAGGAAATTAGTTTAATATATCTTCCTGGTTGGAAATACCCAGTAGAATTCAAATACCACTGTACAGTGGCTGGACTAAATCAGGACTGATTAGAACCAAGTTGATCTGTGATAGACATAAGTCATATAGAAACACAAATGTGTGATACCTGAATAACATTTGGTAGGGACAGGCTGGCTGTTTAATTATATTTTTATTATTATTAAGCAAGAATAAGGTGGTGGCTTGGACAACCAATCTGAATTTTGTTACTAATGTGTATTTTGGGTATATGACTTGATAGGCCATCTGCATTTTAACCCTTTTATATGGATGCTGTCCAAGAGATCACTGCAGTAAATTTGCTCTCCCGCATAAAGCACAAAGATAGTTCTTGCATACTTGCATTTCAGAATTGTCTTTGGCTGTTCCTGTGTCATTTGAATGGCTGGATGCATTTTTTTAAAATCCTGTCCATTGCCAAAAATTCATTAGAGAACTAAATACTTCTTTCTTCCTCTCTCTGTGTTTGCCTGACAGCGTTTTCCAACAGAGGATCATCTGATGATTCACAGGCACAAACACGAAATGACTTTGAAGTTTCCTTCAATAAAAACAGATAATATGTTATCAGGTAAGAAGACATAAAATATAAGAGTCAAATGAGATACCTACATTGATGTTGATGCTATGACTCCTGCTGGAAGGCTATTGCCAAAATAGCACCAAGAGTTTAATTTAAAAAATTTTCCAATAAAAAAAGGACTAGAGATGGAACAAGCTATCTGGGACAACTCTGGACAAAGAGATAGCTGCTATTTGTTTGTCCTGAGAATTAATAAGAGAGAGAGATTGTTGAACTTTAGACACATTGATTTTGCATTTATACTAGGGCTATGGGACTGCCCCAGTGCTGCTTGCATTTATCAGCATTCCTGTGAAAATATATACATTTACGAGTGGCACTGAGGAAATCAGCAATGAAAGTGTTACTCAAGTACAATTGTGACGTTTCTACGGGAGTCATGATTTTAGATCTCACCTTACCACTTAACACTGCTTATAATATTACTTTCTTAAGATACTGACGTACTTCCATAGCTATAAATTAGATAGTTAAAAAAAGGTAAAACAGTGAAAATAGTGAAAGTGCCTTTTGGGAATAAAATATTACTTGGTACAAAAATCATCCTCACATTCCTTTAGTCTTGTGCTATTTGTGTAGTTTTCACACATGGGTGTGTACATCCCTGCCCATACACACATCAGTAGCTTGCTAGCATTGCATATGGATTGTAATTTCTGCTTCCTTCCCTTTTGCTTCCCCCCTCTCAATTTTATAGTGTGTACTTTTAAGACATTAAGCATATTCTTGAGATTTTATCTATAATATCTTTAGAAACTTTGTTTTTTACTATTTTAAGATTCCAAAATATAAATGTAAAAATAAAATGTACTAAATAATGATGCCCAGTTAGGGTTTACACAGTTTATTTGACATATAAACTACACATGGAGACAGATTTTTCTAAACTGGACTCCTTCTGAGTAGGTAATAACTGCTAAAAATAGTAGTGCATCTGTTGCGTTATAAATTCCATCCAAGCGTGTTCATTGTAGGTGCATCTATGTAGCAATTGAATGAATAGGCAACAGGCTTAGACTTTAGTTGTGTGTATAAAATTCAGGAATCCCCATTTAAAACTATAACTCTGGTCTACGTGTGCATTTAAGAAAAACTTGACGAACAAACAAACCAAAAAACCCTAGTAATAGTAGCAGAAGAGGACTTTTGAAGCAATGGTGAGGCAAGTTTTCTTTATGTATTCTCCTTAAATAAGTTATACCACAGAAAATATATATTTGCTAGTCTACTCCACTGGATTTTTTACAGTGAATCTATATAAAAATTAGGAGCAGAGTTAGTAATCATGTTGCACTGAGGAATAACAGAAACTTTCATTTTCACTGCTCTGATGAAGTGACCTTGAGCTTGTCCATTGGATTGTACTAGGAGGGACATGGCAAAGATGGGCCAAGACTTGCTATGTGTTTTTCTTACAATTATGTTTGTTTCAGTAGTCATGTTTCTTTGGTTTTGCATTTATAGGAAGGTATATATTTTAAAAGAAGGGGGAAACAATTATAAGAGATTAGCTTTAGGCCAGCCGATTCATATTGCCCATCATTTCTAAGGATTCACTTCCTCATTCTCAGTGGGTGAAATAAATGCTGTAACCAGACACCTTGCCAAAATGCCACAGGTGAGCACCATATAAGTAGATAAAAATGTATTTGTAAGAGCTAGAATGACATAAAGCATTTTTCCAGGATCCTCCTGTGTATCTACTATATGCAGCATTCACTGGATTACTAATAACTTTCAAGATATTTAACCTAATTAAAAAAAAATAAAAAAGGAAACATTAATCTAAGCATATGAGCATGAGATAGATGGTAAGGACTCAGCTACAGAAGTATTAGGTGAAAGAAAAGAAACTAGGTAAATGGTGATTATCAATATACTCCACATACACATTGTGGAACATATAGTAAATGAACTAGGATCTTTGCCAAAGATAATTAAGGTATTTGTTCTTTTTCTCATACCACTCAGCTTATATATTTCAGAACTCCTTCAATCCACTGTACTGGTGTGTGTACACTCTCAGTGCAATGCAGAGTTCAGTTTTGTGAGAGCTGCCTGTATGGAAACATTCAAGCATGTTTGAGGAAGACTGGAATGAGAGGAAGGGCTAGGACCATCCAACATACACATTCTCTAGTCTTTTCTTCCCTTCTCCAGCCTGCTTAGAAGCTACATCCTAGAGCATAGACTTGGCCCTAGCTATCTGGAATAACATGAGTGGAGTGGCTCTGTTGCTACTCAGCAGCTTCTTGAGTATGGTGCCTCCACACATTTCCTTTGAGCTGATCTATGAAGGAAGACATACAACTGACTACTGTGAACTAGCTTTGCACCCAGACTACTAACTGTGGTCACAAAACACATGGTCACTCAGCATACGTGGAATTTCAGAGTGCTATATGAGCTCAATGGACATGTGATCATGTTTGAGGGACTCACGTTTGTGTTTTAAAAATGCTCTGGTATTGGTGAAAAAGGGAGACTGTAGGAGTGTAGGCACCCAAAGGTATGTCTACACTACGGGATAAGGTCGACTTAAGAGACGCAACTTCAGCTATGTTAATTGCATAGCTGAAGTCAGAGTAGCCTAATCTGACTTTTGGCACTGTCCACGCTGCAGGAAGTCGAAGGGAGAACGCTCTCACTTCGACTTCCTTTACTCCTCGTGGAAGCAGGACTACCGGCATCAACTGGAGTACTCCTCTCAGTGCATTAGTGTGTCTTCACTAGACCCATTAATTTGAACCCTGGAAGATTGACAGCAGCAGCTTCCTCTGTAGTGTAGACAAACCCAAAGAGAACAATGTGCACATGTGTGTGTTATCTCAACCAGGAGCACATCTGGGTTTTTCTGTGGGCCATTCACCCTGGCTGTAAGTTAAGAGAGTTTTTATTTTGTTTTGTTTTGTTTTTCATACTTTTTGCATCCTCATTTCAGAAGGGCTGATAATTTTCCCACTCTTTGGAAAATACTAAGAAGCAGTCATTTCATCACCCAGCAAAACCCTGGGGAAAATTAAATTCCTTAACGTTAAAGATGTTTTATTCTTGGATTTCATAAAGAAAAAAAAAAGAAGAAATGATATATGAGAGGAGACAGGCTTTCCATTTAGACATTTGTCTTCTTGTCTCCCCCCCTCCCTTTTTTTTTGGCAAAGGTGTTCCTGTCATCAATACCCTTCAAAGAATGAGGCTTCATGTGCCCTATAGCAAAGCCAGGTGCAGTATTTTCAATACTAGCCAGGAGTTTTCCACTGCTTCCCAATATGTGACACAAAATCCTTACAGAAGACCAAACGTTTTACGTTGTATTTGTATTTTTATGTTGTATATTGTATATCTATTTCAGTAGTCCAGAAAAAGATGGTGAAAATGATCTGGTCACAAATTTTTCAACAAACATTTTATTGTCAGAAAATGCTGATTCAGTTTTGAATAATTTTTTTCAGATCTAAGATGATGAGCAGCCCTTGAAATCTCAGTACTAGTCCTCTTACTCTGATTTGGTTCTAATTGCATGACAGTAAAACATGGGTAAATATAACTTCAGTGCTGCTCCACAGCCGAACAAGCCAAATTCCAATTATTAAGGCACAGCAGACTAAACATTTTTTTAGAAAGACGAAGCATCAAGTTACTGCCTTTGGCTCTGTGATGGTCAATATCTACATTATAAATGAATAACATTTGCAATGGTTTAGTGGTCAATATAAACTTTGAAAAGCTGAGGTTTGCTAAAATGTTATGGCCATCATTAAGATTTGCAGTTTTCCCCCTACCCAGCATCATGCTGAAATATTTCCATTCATGTCTTGCTAGATGAAAACTTAGGAGTCAGTTTTGGGGTAGTAAAATATATCCTGGTAGACAATTCAAATAAATGCACAGCAGAACAAGCTAACAATGCATTTGCTCCTAGCATGTTTCTTACTGGAGCTGCTGTTGCAAAAGTAGGCAATGCAGGCTGATCCTCCTTTTGGGGGGTGCAAATTTGACAGTTAAAAAAACCCAGCTAACTGCTTCTGTGAGTTACAGAAGCACTGCAGTGTTCTGAGAAGGCCTGTTCATGAGGTATATCTGGCTTAGCGGATACCCAGGTGAACTGTAACTCTTTAAGAGAAATCTTGATCTCATGAGGCTGCTAACCTTATTTCTAGACCACAAAATTCCATATAAGAACAGTTACTTGGTTTGCATCAATTGCCATAGAATTCTTGAAGTCAGCAAGCTAATGACAGTGTATTCCAGCTGAGGGGCTGCCCCCAGACCTTTGGAAATTCAGTGTTCACATTGAACGATACCTTTCTCTGTTTTTTGCCCTGTGGCTGCTCTTGGTATTTGTACCATTCAACCTGTGTAAGAACAGCAGAATCTGGCCTTCACTTCTGTGAGTTTACTTGGTCACTACTGATCGCTTCTAAGCTTTTGACATGATATGATATATTGCCTCGGTCTCTTATTCACTGAATAGTTACTGGTGATGCCATTCCTTATCAGTCTACTTGCTTCATTCATATGTGCCTTAGAAATGCTTTATCATCATGTTGTTGTTATGCTTGATCTAACAAAACAGATTGAAATAATGCACAACTTCTTAACCAGTCACGTACATTAATGAAACATGTCCAGACCTTAACTGTGCCTCATCTCTTCAGCCTCCGTCGTCTAGGTTCAGATATAGGTGACTCTGTAAAAGGAGGGCAATTAGAATTGTTGTCCATTTGTTTATTTAATTTGATTTCTGTATTTATGTATTGCTATTAGCCTGAGTCTGTTACTGTGTGACAGAGGCTGATCTGTGATCCCGTGTTAATTCCTGATGATGGCTGTTTATGAGATTTGAAAACAAAACAAACAAACAACAACAAAAATGAATAACTTATCACTGAGTAGCTAAGAAGATACTTTATGTATTTACTAGATATTCTGAATGGAATGTCTCCTTTATGTTGAGGAAGGTTCGACGTTCCTCAGCTTGAGTTATATAACAAAGTAAATTGCATTTCAGTAACTTGAGTTATTGTACTTCCCTTTAGCTATAAAACTTGCTCCTCCCTCCTTTCAGAGCACTTCCAGGCTATGTGCCAAATTCATCCCTGTGTAATGCCACTAAGTTCAATGTGGTTATGTTAGTGATGGCACTACTTTGGTTTAATCCTGAAGTGTCCTCAACTCCCACTGATGTCTGAAGTGCCTGAAACTGGCTCTTTATATCAAGGTTTCAGTGAAGAAGCTTGGAGAGTGTCCATCAAACCAATGTCTTAAAAATACTAAGGGAGTGTATAGATTTAAATTACAAACCGAAACCAATGAATTTACCAAATTAAAAAAGAAAAGTCAGAATTCAGGCCAGTTCCTCTGCTGTTGTAAATTGACACTGAAGTCAGTTGAGCTCCATGATTTACCCCAGTGCAGAATCAGGCCCTTGATATCCAAATTGAAATGCTAATTTCTTTTGTGTTTAGGCATCACTATGTGTGTCTTTGCTGATCATGTAACATTCACTCTGGCAACAGAGATGTATTAGAATCTGACCTATCTTGACTACATCCAAGGAACTAAAAGTTTCCCATAGAACTAACTTAGGTTAAATGTTTGTAATCAAGGTCTGGATCTGGCCCATTATGTGCTGGTGAGGTTAGTGAGAGTGATGCTTGTTTTCATTCATTATGGGCTGATTTTTAAATAGTATGAGAGTTAATAATGACCAAGAATGGTATCAGGTTACTGTATGAATGTAGGTCAAGTATGAGCTGGATGGGGAGGAATAAGGGGTGAGGTTTTTTTTGGCTATTTGGATTTAACAAATGTGACTGACCCCTTTGTTGTTTATCCACTTTGGAGCTTGAATAGCTGGTACCAGTGATATTTACAAATTGGCCACTATCTGTAGATAGAACTGGTATATTATAAACCATGGCAGTTTTCTGTTAATATTTTACTATAGTTATTGTCATTTGATTGATGGGGAAACTGATGCAAACAGGTTAAAGATCTGCCCCTGATAGGTAGGTGGTATCAGAGCTGATATTAGAATTAGGAGTTCTTGCGCTCATTAAATTAGACTAGCTTCTGGATGCTGAGGATGATTCTAGATCAGAGATTCTTAGTCTGGGGAATGTAATTTGGTGAAGGGGTGAGATGCTTTTGGTGGTGGTGCTGATTGCAGAGCTGGGTGCCCAGCTAGCAGCTGCCACTTTCCAGACACCTAACTCTGAAGGCAGAGTGGAGAGTTGTGGCTGCTGGCCAGACGCCCAGCTCTGAAGACAGCACTGCTGGAAGCAGCAGCGTAGAAATATGGGCACTATGTCATAGCATTGCCTACATACTTAAATGGCTCTGTTTGAATCAGTGCTTTTCTATTTTTTAATATTTAGTGAAAATGGCAATTTGTATCAATATATGTACTTGTGGGGAAGGAGACAGAGGTATAAACTACTATAGACAAAGCAGGGCACATGATCAAATAAGTTTGAGCAAATGGGGGTGGGGAGGACAAAAGGGGCTATTGTCCCAGGACCCAGAGATTCAAAAGGGCCCGGGGCTCCTAGCCCACTGCTGTCACTAATGCAGCAGAGGTGGCAGGCAAAGCCTCAGGCCCTTTAAATTACTGCTGGAGCACTGCATGTCACACTCCAGGTAGGGCTGCTTGAGGTGTGGGGCCACAGTTCAGTGTGCTCTGGGCTGCGCTGAGGACTGGCTGCCCCCAGGTCCAACCCTGCCTCCTGAGGCTCTGCTCCTTTTGGAAGCGCGGAGCCAGTCCCCCCATTTTGCCCAGGGGCCCAGCAGGTTTGTCATCTCCCTCCCCTGGCGGTCACTGGAGGTGAAGCTTCCAGGACACTTTACAATTGCTTACGGGAGAAAAAAAAGCTCAGGATCTTCAAAAGAAGCCTCAATCTTTTTCCATGCCACATACCTTCTTCAGCCCTTTCTGGGAGTAACATTAAAGAGAATCCTGTCAGTCTATTAATTTTATACTGGCAAGGGTGGGGGACATGGGCTGTGGGATTTAGCCATATTCAAATTAATTAGATCATAAATCTCATAAATCTTTCAGCATTTTCAATGAATAAGAAGAAACTTTGACACTTTCTCCATATTTTCTTGGTGTGGTCAATGGCTCAAAAATCTTTTCATAATGTTTCTGGTATGATCTCAACCCCTCCCTCAAAAAAAAAAAAAATCTGGAACCAACTCACTTAATAGTACTTCTCAGCCTTACTGCAACTTGACTGCATGTTCCAAAGGACAGAAATATGCATGCCGGAGCCAATTTTCAGATAGTTCAGGCACAGAACTGCATAGCTAATTGGTGCACTCACTCATCGCAGCAAAATGCATACACTGAGTCTGCTTGGAAGTGCGTCTAAAAGAACTATCTACACACAGTTATTGGAACTTTATTCACAAATTCAGTGATAATTTCTGTAAATTAGGGGTACACATTTGTCCATCTATACTGTCAGGGAATCTGGCCCTTAAACTCTTTCTTAAATCTAATTGAATTACAGCTGCTACATATAAAGTGGTGCACACTTAGTAAAATGCTTTCAGACAAGCTCCAGCCCTGCACCTCGCATACCATGTCAAAACTCAGTGGCTTTTCTTTTGTTTTTAATTTTGGGAGCTTGCAAGGGGGGAGGGCAAAGAGCAGGTAGATTTTTATGCATCTCCTGGGAAAAGGATGTCTCAAAGTGTGTATTCTACTTATCCGTGTTTTACTGCAAAACATCCATTGTAGATCCTTTTGATATCTGTTCTCAGACCAGACTCCTACACCAACCCGATTCCTGAAGAACTGTGAGGAAGTGGGCCTCTTCAATGATATTGACTGTTCCTTAGAACACGAGTTTAGAAAGGCACAAGAAGAAGAGAACAATAAAAGGGTATGTTCTAGTGCAACGGACTGTTTCCCTCTTCCCACTCCCTAAGTGTTTATGGATGCTGTGTGAAACCAGATAGATCTCCGTTACCTGGTAGAAACCTTTCTGGTTGGAAACTAGGTGGTACTATAGATTGTGACGTGTTTTATAACCATTGCAATCATTGATAAAAATTTATAACCAAAGTTAAATTTCCTGAAGTGCATTAGCTAGGTTTTATTACTAGGTCCCATATTTAAGTAAACAAGTATAAACCACATGCCTCTTGAGGGAGAGACTTGGTAAAATTGAATGTTCTGACAAATAGGATTTCAGACTTGATTCCTTTCACTTTCTAAAAGATGTTTTGGCAGGAGGTGGAGAGGTAATAGAAGAACTGAACTGGCATAGAAATAGCTCTGATCTGATTTCTGCTCTTGTTAACTATCTCCCCCATTGTACCTCTAGATTTAGTTTTCTGCTAGTTGTCTGTTTCCAAGTGTATTTTTGGTAAAATGTTCAAACTCAAGGGGAGGAAAATGATTTACCTGGCATTGCTCGGGTCCTTAACTCAATTGTTATTATTATTGTTTGGAAAATAGAATGAAAATGTACATGCTTCATTTAAATCATTGCTCTGGGGTGAGGCTGGAGATGAGGGGTTCAGTATGCAGGCTACTCTGGAGAGAGGGGTACATGTCCTTCAGCTGGAGCAGGTACAGGTGCGTCAGTCCCCTGCGCTCCCCATCTAGAGTGAGGAATGAAGCAAGCTGTGAACTTTCCCCTCACTCCCTAACAAAGGGGAACAACCAGCAATGTTCCTGTATAAATTGAGGGGGGAGGTTAGAGCCCCTTCCGCTATCCTCCCTAAAGAGAACCTGGGCAGTGGGAGACTCGGGACTGGGGCTGTTCCAGATGGGGGGCATTCCTAGCCATCCCATTTCATTTGCCTGGTGACTGTCTCTTTTCTGTATGGTTTTTTGATAAGCAATTCCATTTAAGGCACTTCCCATTTTCCTGGCACAACCAACCCATACCTTGCTTTAAATTATGATAAGAGGAATCTGCATGCCAAATGTTATGGTCCTAGTTCTTACTATTTAGGAGTTCTTGAACAAACAGACAGATTCTCAAATACATAGTAGATAGGTAGAGAGAAACTGTGGTTCATTAGCTCATGTATCCTATTGCCATAAATTGGAGCTTCCACATCACTTTACAGTGGGCTAAGTATGCTAACCAACCTGACCCAACATCCTTGTATTTGGGCTAACATAAAGTGTGGCTATAATTGAAAGATGATTATAATGAAGTTTAATATGGTTAATGACAAGTAAGTGTGATGGATCAGTCTCTAAAACTTTCAAATAAACACCCATACTCTTATTTACTTCCCTGAACTGAAACATATCTAAATAATGTGAGGCTTCCATTCTCCTGTGGGATTACCCAATTGATCCACAGCTTCCCTTCTTCCTCTTGGCAACTCTCAGAACTTAACTTCCCTTTGGGCCCCAGCTACTCTTAGCAGTCCTCACTGCTTCTATCTCCCGGCAAATAGGCTCCCCTACAATTGAGTTTCTTGTTACAGGGCCCGGATAGTTTGATGTTAATCTGTATCTTAGTCTAATTTAGTTTTAAGCAACACTTGAGGCTAAAGTTAAGGAAGTGGGAGGGAGCCAGCTCCCCCTTCACTGCTAAAAATAGAAAGAGGCCCACTCACATCCCCTAACCTCTGGCTTGGGTAACCAACAGTCCCCCATAACGCGCCTTCCTCTTTGGCTAGGGTAGTGAGTCCTTTCAATGCAGGTTTGGTCCATATTAACCACTGTATTGTGGTACATACTAACCACTGTATGGTGTTGATCATGCTGGGCCTGGTTGCTGCTGAATTCAGATTGCACAGTCTCTAGAACTGTGCACGCAGAAGTGCATCTCTTAGCATATGAAATCTTAAGCAAACAGCATTAAAGGCCTTGCAGAGCTTTGGGAGTTCTTGGAAGGGAACGACAGCCTACTATTGGGCTGTGAAAAGGAAGATGAACGTGGTGCAAGGTCATATGAAGGGAGTCCAAGGGCATGTCTACACAGCAGTGTTATTTCAGAATAACTAACGTTATTCCAAAATAACAGAGTGTGTCTACACAACAAGCTGTTATTTCAAAATAACATTGAGCTGGAGGACTTCTTACTCCAACTCCTGTAACTCTATTTCATAAGGAGTAAGGGAAGTCAAAGGAAGAGTGTTCTTCCTTAAACTTCCTGCTGTGTAGACAGCGCTAAAAGCCGAATTAAGCTATTTCAACTTCAGCTATGCAATTGATGTTGCTGAAGTTGCATAGCTTAATTCAGCTTTTGCCTTGCTGTGTGGATGTGCCCATAGGAGTTACCTGAGAATCATTTTGAAGGAGGCTGAGGTTAGATATTGGTGAGAGAGAAAGGGAGTTATATACATGCTAAGGGCAGGAAGGGTCATGATCCAAACATGAAAAAAACTGGGTTCTGGTTAGGGAATGGGAAAATATTCTAACCAGTTCAACCATTAAAGACTCACATCCAGGGTGAGTGTTATGGAATAGTTATGTAGAGAGAATAAAAACATCTAATTTTAGATTGAATTCAGGACTTGTACTAGCATGCAGGATATTGGCAGAAATAGCAAATCAGGACCTTTTTATGTGTTAATATTTCTTCACAAATTATCAGTGCTGAAGAAGATTCCAGTGCAGCACCTACAGCGAGGTATTTATCTTTCAGGAATAAAAGACAAGCAGCATAAGAACATAACATAAGAACGGCTGTACTGGGTGAGACCAAAGGTCCATCTAGCCCAGTATCCTGTCTACCGACAGTGGCCAGCACCAGGTGCCTCAGAGAGGGTGGACCGAAGACAATGATCAAGCGATTTGTCTCCTGCCATCCCTCTCCAGCCTCTGACAAACAGAGGCCAAGGACACCATTTTATCCCCTGGCTAATAGCCTTTTATGGACCTAACCTCCATGAATTTATCCAGCTTCTCTTTAAACTCTATTATAGTCCTAGCCTTCACAGCCTCCTCTGGCAAGGAGTTCCACAAGTTGACTACACGCTGTGTGAAGAAGAACTTTCTTTTATTAGTTTTAAACCTGCTACCCATTAATTTCATTTGGTGTCCTCTAGTTCTTCTATTATGGGAACTAATAAATAACTTTTCTTTATCAGCCCTCTCCACACCACTCATGATTTTATAGACCTCTATCATATCCCCCCTCAGTGTCCTCTTTTCTAAACTGAAAAGCCCCAGTGGCTTTAACCTCTCCTCATATGGGACCCTAATCATTTTAGTTGCCCTTTTCTGAACCCTTTCCAAGGCCAAAATATCTTTTTTGTGAGGAGACCACATCTGTACACAGTATTCAAGATGTGGGCGTACCATAGTTTTATACAGGGGCAGTAAGATATTCTGGGTCCTATTTTCTATCCCTTTCCTAATAATTCCTAGCATCCTATTTGCCTTTTTGACCGCCGCTGCACTCTGCAATCTCATGATCTTGGACCCTGTGAAGTTAACCACAAATGATACAGTATGATGTTGCAGGGTCAGTTTCAGCTAACCAGGGGTAGTTGCACAATCTGATTAAAACCTAGACTAGGGCATCATATTACTTGATAATTGCCAGTTGTTTGAGGTCCTCTGGAGGTCTTATTCTGCCTTCCTTCTGTCAGCCACTGAAGCTGCCATGAGCTATCTCCAGGGAGAAAAATGTGTGTTCTTCAAAAGAAAAGCAAAAGTCATAGAGGCAAGTTAACATGTAACATTTGTTCTGTGTTTCCAATTAGCCTGCTACACATTCATTCCTACATTACCAACTGACTGTAAGATATTAATCTGAAGCTGGCCTCTGTAGGGCCATACACAAATGCAGTAGACAAAGGATACAAAGGAACGTGACTCCTTCACATGTATTACTCATGAAAGAAAGGCTCTTAACAGTTCCTCTCTGAAGTGCAAATGTAGTTTGTGTAGCCTTCTCAGATGGTAAGTAAGTTTAATGTGAACAACACAAAGCTGTTACTCATGACTGGGAAAAGGCTTCCAAAATATTTTTGATTAGGAAGATTCTTTTTTCATCGGCTGATGAAAAAAATGTTTATTTTAGTTTATTTCAGTGTGGTGAAAGAGAAAAATTAGCATGACACAGATTCTATGACTTCCCTACCTCCTCCCATCCCCAATCTTCTTTTTTGAAGAAGAAACTTTAACTTTTCCTAATAAAAGATTTACAGAACGTTACCTATAATTTTTGTTGTTCAAATCTAGTCTGAATGTTCATCATTTTGCTTACATCCTTTCTAGAGTGTGGTATGGAGAACTGGAAGCAGTATTACAGCTGCGGCCTCAGTAGTGCAGATTGGAGTGGGAAATCTGTCTCTCTACTTATGACACTCCTGCTAATATGCCCAAGAATGATATTAGACTTTTTTCAACTGTATCACAATATTGATTCATAGTCAACTGGTGCTCCACTATAACTGCCCCCTCCCAGATTCTTTTCAGCAGAACTACTGCCTATCCCAATAGTACCCATTTTGTAGTTGTAAATTTGATTTTTCCTTCCTAAGTTTAGTATTTTACACCTGTATTTATTCATTTAATTTTGTTGTTTTCAAACCAATTCTCCAATTTGACAAGGTTGGTTTTGAATTCTGATTTGGTCCTCCAAAATGCTAGATGCTCCTCCCGGTTTGGTGTAATCCACCAAGTATTACATGGATACTCGACACTCAAAGCCCTACTAAAAATCAAAGCATATCACATTGACAACTCTACCTCGCCATCCAGTAGACCATTAACTCTATTCAAGATGGAAAGTAGATTAATTTGGCATAATTTGTTCTTGACAAATCCATATTGGTTAATCCTTATAACTCTGTTATCCTCTACATAAGTATTTCTGAAAGTGCTCCGTGAAACCACTTTGAGAAACACATTAACTGGCTGCCCCAGTTTGTTTATTTACTGGCGCTGCGGCCACAGAGCTTC